CGCATGATCAGGCATTTTCTTCTTGATGAAATATCTACATATATTTGTCGTATTTTGTGTTCTTTCAGTTCATTTTGCAGATAAACAATCTAATGTAAGTACAAAACTAAACAGTAGAAAAAAAAGTATCATACTAATCTCTTTACATCATGAAAAATTAGTGAAACTGAAATGAAAGAATTTCACGTACAAAAATACAAATGAATAGAGAATTTGAGTTGAGAAGAAAAGACATTGAGAACATGACAAACTCCAAGATTTGAGTAACTACAAGTTTTTTTTCGAGTAGGTTATGAATATGATTGTAGAAAGTGAATATACTAATGTGACCAAGAATCAAAGCCATCCTAAGATTCTCTTTTTGAAATGAAAATATCAGATAAATACATAATGTGCTCTCTCTCTCTATCTACCGTTACTTGATTTCTTAAAATGAATGTTATTAATAGAAATTACTAATTCTCAGTATTAGTATACACAGTATTTTCTTACTGAATGATGTGTCAATCAAATGATTTATAGCCTTTATTTTTATTCTTTTATCATTGACTCTAAATTGCACTTAAATTCAAGGTATATATACGTCAATAAAATCCCAAATCTCGAGAGTAAATCAAGAGATTTCTTAATTCTGAATATAAGTGATGGTATGATGACTATTTAGAAAATTGATTATAAAAAATCAAAAGATGTATTTGATTCACGAGATATTACTGAAACACAAGTATTAGTTATTGGTGCAGGTATATCAGGTTTAGAAGCAGCTCGTTTATTGAAACAGAATGGAGTGCAAACACTTGTAATTGAAGCACGAAATCGTACTGGTGGTCGAATCTGGACAATTCAATCAAAAAATGGTGACATAATTGATTTAGGTGCAAATTCAATTCACGGCATTGACGGATCTATACCACATGGTTTTCTATCGAATCCTTTATGGGATCTAGTCCAACAAGCTAAAATTCCTACTCGTACAGTATCACTTCGTGATATGAAAATTTTCAATATGATAAATCCGAATATAGCAGAAAATCTTAAAATATGGTTTGATGAATATATGAATTATGTTGAAGAAGCAACTAAAACATCGTCAAGAAATCAATCACTTCAACAATATGCCGAAATATTTTTTACCATGAAAAATTTTACTAACGAACTGCAAGATGCATTTTATTCTTATGTACGTAGAGTTATCGAAGTTAATGAAGGTACCGAAATCAGTACGATTAATGCAAAGGATTTCGTTGAAATAGCCGGTAGTTTTTATGGTTTAGACAAGGTATGTCATGATACTGGTTATCATTCAATAATTGACAATATAGTCAAAGATTTTCGAGATGATGATATACGTTTTGGACAAATTGTAAATAAAATAAATTACGATAATGATTTAGTTGAAGTACAAACTGTTAATGGACATGCCTATCGTTCTCAATATGTTCTCATAACAGTACCTTTGGGTGTATTAAAAGGTCGACAAATAATGTTCAATCCAACATTACCACAATGGAAATTGAATTCTATCGATCGAATTGGAAATGGACTTTTGAATAAAGTTGTTCTAGTATGGAACAAAGCTTGATGGAATTCAACAAATTATTTTCTTAGATATCATACGCCGAAACCATCACCTTTCAGTAATTGGAATAATCCGAATAAATGGAATGATCGACCAACTCTCATCTCTCTCGTAATGGGTAATGAAGCCAATCGAATAGAAACTTTAACAAATGAACAAATTGTTAATGAAGTTCTAAATGAATTACAAAAAATGTTTCCAAATCAGAGTATTCCAATACCTATCGAAAGTTTTGTAACACGTTGGAAATCAGATCCATTTTCTAATGGTTCATATTCGTACATATCTCAATATCAAACTTATGAAGATATGATATATATTAGTAAACCAATCGCTGATAAACTACTTTTTGCAGGCGAAGCTACAGCCCAAGAATGGTATGGCTATGCACATGGTGCTTTACTAAGTGCACGACGAGAAGTAACTCGATTATTGCACGTTTATGAATTGTCCGTAAATCAAACTCAACCTGGATCTCGATCAGTGTTAATGAATCCATTCAAAATTATGATTATTATCAATATTATCTTATTGGAATTTTTGTCTTATATAACGAAATGACATTTCTATTTTATTTTTGATATTCTTTCGACTAAAATAAATATTTAGAATTAATAAAACACACAAACTATAACTTGTTTTATCAATTGAGAATGATGTTGTGTATGATTTGTTTTTGATGGTCATTTTTTCAAATGCTATTGGATCTTTCGCATATCTAAAAATAAGTTATTTTTATTCCTTTAATATTGGATGGATTTTCTTTTTCAAATATATTAACCATATTCAAGCATAAAGCATTCCTTTTTTTTTCGTGTCTCACAAAAAGATCCCAAAAGTTAGTAGACACAGAAAGATTATAAATTACGTTTGAATCATTAATTATACTAACATTTTACAGTTTCGTTATCATTTTGATGTATTCTTTCATAGGATGTTAGTTTTCGTAATTTCATTGATATTTGTTTCAAATACGATTGACAAAAATCGAAAGAAATTTCTATTGAGAATGATTCTGTTATTTTCTCATGTTAATGAGTATACTATCTCTAATTTTTTTTTTCTTATCATTTATTATTTCTTGTATTTATGTTCGTTTTCTTATGAATTTATAATGTGTAGTTTTTTCTCATACTATTTAATCAAGGAGAATGTATTTAGTTTATGCTCGACGGAAAATTTAAATATCCTTCATATCATCATTAAATGGGTGTGGGTAGTTCTGGGTGCCCATGAGAGGAAGGTCTACACTCCCAAATGCACCCTTGCACCCACACCCGCTGTGCTAACAAGGTTTTTGTGAAACAAAATTGAAATTCTAATCGATAATCATCTAAATTATAAACATCATAAGTTAATTAGTAGTTTCTGATAATTGATTGGCCTTGATTATAATTTAGATTTTAATCGATTAAAATTTCGAGTTTATTTCACAAATATCTGGTTTTCAATTGAGATTATGTTTACAGGATTTTTTAATTTAGATCGTTTTTATTCCTGATATTTTTCACTGAAGATACCCTCAATATTAGAGTGTGTGAACCTAAGGATATGTCTCCAGAACAGCATATATTGATACCTGACGTTTAGTTCATTTAAATTGAACTTTTCTGAAGGCTTCATTCACGCAGTTAAGTTGTTTGAACAATTCTACTCACTTGAAATGAGCTGCTCGAGCGATTCGACTCAACTGAAATGAACTGTTTAAACAGCTCATCCGCTCATATAAATCGGTTAGTGACCTTCAGTTGGTCTACGACTAATTGTCATAACTCGCTGTAACCGGGCACCGATGTGGATGGGTCTGAATGTGCATATTTTCATTATTTACACCCCCACACTCAAGTATTTGGTGATTAAAGTGGCAAAGGACAAGCGTCTCTTTGTATGTTGTTCTCATGCGCATGGAAAAATTTGATTTTCTCAATAGAATAGTAATATTTTGATGCCAAGAGTTAATTTATTTATTCTTATAGTTACGCTAATCATCATTTGCTATCTTCAATGAATAAAAATACTACATACGTTTGAAAAGTTCGGACATCAATCGGTATCTTAACCACGAAATTCTGATTTGAAAGCTAGTAAATTAAGAGTTGATATATTTAAATGTACAGTTCTACTCAATTTTCGATATTCTATGAGATTAATACATAAGAAAGCAGGTGTTTTGGAAAAATTGATGCGAAAATGTTTCGATTTCGTAGGAACAATTTTTTCCGTTGGATTTGGAGCTATCGCAAGTTTTTAAGACATTTGAGATACAGAGAGGTCAAAGAATGAACTTATGTCTCTGATTTTGAACTCAACCCAAAAAACAAAGTCCAACGATATGTTTTTCAAACAAAAATAATTTTTTGAAAAATTTGACCCGTACTCCCCCTCACGTCTTTTTCTTCAATAAAAATTGTCCGTACTCTACCCAGGCAAAAGTTTTCATATTTCTTTTTTTCTTTTAAATGATAATGAAAATATGTATCTTTATTAGAGGATTTCATTTCTTGATGTTGTAATGAAGTTAAATAAAAAAATTACACGGATCGGCATAATTAACAACAAAAAAAGACTATTTTATAACTTGTTGCCTTTTTAAACAGAAAAAAAAATTGTAGTAAATATAATTAATGTATATTAAATAAACTACGACTGAATGCATCGTCATCTCACCAATCGAATGATTTGTGTTTCATTTTAAATACACTTCGTTTTCATAGAGTAATTGAACTTCTACGAAATTTTAGTGTAATTTTACGAGTAAATGGCACGATTAGGACAAAACATACATTGATCGGCAAATTTGAATCCAGAGCAGATTCAGATGAAATTTTACTTCTTTGCTATTTTTACTGCTATTACGCCACAACAGCTAAACATTTTTCAATTAATTCTACATCAATGACTAGAGAAATGTTTGCTCAATGTCGGGAAAAAGAAATTCAGCTCTCTACGTCACTGAGAAGTCAAATTATTAAAGATCTACTGGGGACGATTTTTTTTCTGCCAAAATTAGGTCCATTGTCTCTACTATTTAGTAAAAATACATATAAGAAATTTGAAATTAAAAGAAATATTCATTAGTAAACATGCTCCTTATCTTTTTCTCTATTTGTCTACGAAGGTTCAACTGAAAATCTTCTTTTATTGGTTAGATATAAACAAAATAGTTTCAAATAATTAGAATAATTCTATTACAAATATATTTAAATCATTGATTCTTGAATAAAAATTTTTCTACAAAATATTATTAGTTTAGTATAATCTAAGAAACATTTTGTTTTTACAAGTACTTCTAAATATAACTGTATGTTTTTAGCTATATTTTACTTCAATTCTTCAAATAGTAATGATTTTTCTAATTAGTTTTTTTATCTGTATCATGACTACGCAAGAGATACTTGTGTACGACATATATAGATTTTGAATGTTATGTTTATTTATTTAAGAACAGTCATTCATCATCTTTTGAAATTACATGTAAAATAGAAAATTTTTTGAACTTCTGGCATTATTGACGAAAAGAATGTCCCTATCAGTGAAATTCATCAATCAATATAAGAAAAAATATATGAGAAGATCTTTTTTCTGGCTTTCGTTTACGTAACTTATCTGACTTTAAGGTTAATATTTCAATAAAGAAGAGTTTACTTATTGTAAACTCTTCTTCTACATCTGTTATTTTATTCTTACTAACTTTTCTTTTCTATTATGCAAGAATTTTTTCATCATTTTCAATTACAATCCATAATCATAGCTGGAAGAACTTAGCACACCTTATTTCTCTCAGCGATTTTCACTTTTGTATCTCAATCGTAGTCAGACTGAAATTATTTGATCTTTCGTCTTTGCTAGTAATTGAAAGAAAAATGTTAATAAAATCAATCCTAGGATTTTATTCTCTCATTTAACAAGTAAAAAACAAAAACAACCAACGAATCTGAAATCAAAAGATGCCTTCGTAAAAGTAGGATTCTCTGAGATCTTAAAACATATGCCCAGCTAAAGGTGAAAGATGGGGTGTACGGATGAAGTAGTGATTGTTATCCACACCTACACCCCACAGCCATCCCATTTTTTTTCGATATATAATTGAAAAAACTTTGAAATTTCATTTAATCCTCATCACTATATCTATTTCTTCTGCCATGTAATTAATAGATTCTTGATGAGATTGTACCATTGGTTCTTCATCACTCGACAAGTCATAATCAAATATCATATATAGATAAGAATGAACTCCATCTTTTAATCAGGATTTCACTCACTCCATGCATTACTTTAAATTATTTCTTAAGGAAATAATTGATTCAATATCTGGATATGACTCTGATAGTTTACATAAACGAATCTCTATATTTTTATCATACATTTCGATTGCTTTAGCATAATCCCTTGTCTTATGAAAAAATTCCACCTATAAGTTCATAAATTTGCGATATTTGGATCATTTAACGGCTCATATTTGAGTCTTGCATTTAAAGTATCTTTATTATGTTTCATCGCTTGTTCATAATTACGCATTCATTCATAAGTTTTTTTTCAATAAATTCATATGAATCAATATGATATGAAAGATAAGATCGAAAATATTCATCAATTATTCTCAAAGCTTCGAAATGATAGTGAAAGATTATGTCTCTTTTTTTTTGTTTTGAATAAACTTCTCCAATTAAAATATAATATCGAATAATATTTTCGTACATATATAGGCTTATCCAGCGCATCGATTCTATAAAATTGTTGACATTTATTTTGTGAATGAGCTATGACCCAATCCTCTTGGAATATTAGACAGTTATCCTATGAAGACAAAAGGAATGTTAAATTTTAAGAAGTAGACTAGTATAGCCACCTGACGCGCTACAAAATGACGAAGAGCTAAAACTCTTTTTTTAATTTTGTAAAAGTTATGAGTCAAATACTGGCGACATTTAACTGTTCTTTTGTCTTAAATTTACTTTACACAAAGTGTGGTCAAATCAATATTAATGATGTTTTTCAATGTGTTGAATCATTTGTTAATACCTGCTATGCTATAGAACAATCCTTTTTCTATCACAATATTCGCTAAACGGTATTACTTTGAAATGCTATTACATGATTAAGTTGAAATACATACAGAGTATCTGGAAAATTGAATATCTTCGTTACTTCTCGGTCATATTGGAGAAATGTTCAAGTTTTATTTGGTGCTAAAATTTCCTTCATGTACTGTTCAAAAGTATCATCATTCACATCAATAAAAAATTTTAATCTTTTCATAATATCTATGAAAACGTTGTTTAATATATCATAGAGTTCATTGCACTTTCCATATTAACTTGTGGATTATTTGCTGCCCAAATACAACAGTTACGCTTGCTGACAGCTTCGAAAATGTAAAGAAGTCGATTCATCCGAAAAACAAAATATAATCATCATTTTCTGATTCTTCAAGAAGTGATATTAAATGTTCTACCACATCTACACATAAATTCATATCTTCATTATACAACTTTTGAATACTATGCATCATATAGGGTTTATATCCAATTAAATCACGTATTATTCTATATGCTTGATATTTTGAAATGCTCACCAATTGAGCAATATTTCTTACGATGTTTATTGGTTCACTTTCTAAGATCTTGTGAACTTTTTCAACTTTTTCTTCTTTTATTATTGACGGTCTTTCTGTACGAGTGTTGTCTTGAATTGAATCAGTTTCAAGAAATTTTCGATATATTAATATAATGGGCTGTCGAACTAGATGTGGATGTTTGTGGTTACGTGAAGAGATAAGACTCACACCTAAACTCCACACCTCATATGATTAAATGTGTCAGATGCTGAAGATCACAAACTTCAGATTATCACAGCGTTGAATTCCATAAGAATTTCTCATTTCGTAAAGCAAGCGAATGTGGCTTTTCTCGCGTAAAAATGACTTTTTTTTCAACTCGTGTTCGACTAAGCCTATTTGTATAGTGAAAAAGACGTAAAGACTATAAAAGGTTTTTGCTGCTTTGGACATCTTTAGAATCTTATGAAGTGCAGAAGCATAATATAAAATATTAAAAAGTGCAAACAAATTACAATCCTGTTCTATTCACATATCAATCATTTGATTTTTTTCGTTTCCATATGAAATGAATTGTACGTAGGCTTATGAATATGAATCTAGCTGTAGATAAAGATAATAAAACAACCATACTAATATTTTAACTTTCGGCATTCTATAAATTATTGTAATGGTAAATGAAACTATTTTTCATCATAAGAAACATCGTATAAATTTTTGAATATGAATATGGATTATGTTTTTAATGTCAATAATTGATAGAAGAAACAAGATCCACTTTAATGTAAACGAATAGCATATAAAATTTTTAATTCTAGAATTTGTCAGCTCCATTTAGGAAAGGGAAAAATTATATTGAATTAGAATTTGGCTTCGTAATGTTTACATCAACTATATACATACAACAAAAAAATTAGAGAGAAATGATAGATAAACGTTCAAAAAACAATGAAAATGCAACAAATTGTGTTGAACATCTACGTTGGTTTTATTTCGAAAAGATTGTTGTAGTTAGTGATCAAATTCCTTGAGTTAGGTATTATTGCTCCCAGTTACATTTGATACTAAACGATGTAATATTTTCTTTTGAATGAATTGCATCAATTCAATTCTGAAATATGATGACGACAATGTATAAATAATAAATGTTAAAGAAAACTCCAAATGAATAAACATATAACTCATATTATTAAGAAATGTTTCAATTGTTAAACGCAAAGATGATTTTGTTTCATTTATTGTCATTGTTTGATAAAGAAGAACACAAGGATTGATCATGTTCAAAATTGTCCAAATTAATATTTGACTAAATAACATTTTAGTATATTGAATATCTTTTGCTGACATTCTAGTGAATTCTGCAGATCGAACACCATTAACTAGTGTTATTGGTCTTGTTTTTCGTTTACTTTGTTGAATATTTTTGATTGTAAGAAGTCCAAAAATCATCATGAGCAATGGTGGTAATATTCCACTCTCAATCAATAGATAAATAGTAAAAAACATTCCGTAAACACCACTCCTATATGAGCAGGTACCATTTTGAATATCATAGAAGACAATAGCCTGTATATAGACTAAACACCAAAATATAAAACTACCAATAATTAATCGCACTGCAGTCTTTGATGAACTCCATCGACGCCAATAAATATCAGAACAACTAGCAAAATAACGATCAATGGATGCGAAAACAATGTAATAACGTGGAATAGCAATAAAAGCAAGAGAGAAATAATTGCGTATTTTACAAAACCAAAGGAAAATATTAACTGCATTAATATCAAATCCACTACGAAGTATTCTTGTAACAAGAACAAAATTAAAAATGATGTATTGTGAAGCACTAGAAGCTAGAAAATACAGGACACATGAATTTTGGCGAAATTTTCGTTGAGAGAAGATAATACAATTGATAGTTGATCCAATATTTCCCATAAACCATATAAGACCCATACAATATCTTGAAATATTCTGATTTAGAAGAGAAATTATATTACACCAATATATTTCATAATCATTAGTTCCACAATTAGTACGATTTGACATTTTCAGCGAATTTATATTAATGTATATAATACGACAAAAAGTAAAAGCAAAGTAATTTAATCTAGTGAATTCTTTTAGTTATAACTGCTCTGATGTTGTGCTTAAAAGAAACATTTTCTTCATATAGACAGAACATTAATTAAATTGAAATGACGTCAATCTACTCCGTAGAAGGTACATAATGTAATCAAGCGTTCAAGACAGAAAAGATATATTTAACATTTAATTTTTGATAATTAATGAAAGTTCCATAAAAACACAAATTTTAATAATATCCAATCATTTGTGAATTAAATCAAAAACTTATCTTTTGAGAATGAAGCAGTTGAAAAATATCAGACTTCAATGGAAGATCAAAGAATTATATAAGATAAATGGAAGTAAAAATGACTAGTATGAGTAGTAGACAACATGATCACTACACAATATTAAAGTTGAATCGAATGATCAACATAGTAAGTGCTCTGCATGTTAAAATATTGTGTAAGTCGAATGTTTTGAGTTTTTGTATCAGATTCAACAAATTCTAATTCAATACTTCACAAAAACTGAGAAGCATCATTTGTTTCTTTTTTTTCAAAAACATAGAATACTTGATTTCAATGTTTAGCATATAAAAGTTATAATTTACTTAATTGAAAAAAAAATGCCTGAAACTTGTTAGTACATTTGCATGAATTGCCAAAAGTCATGTCATACCTTTCAGTTTTGTCTTTAATGAATTTCCTCTAGATTTGATTAGTATAATATTTGAATGTAAAATATGAATTTTTGGCGATTTCCTGAAACTAGCTGTAAAATTTAATATTGTAAAACTCATCTTGTCGTTTTCAGTGCAAATATATCCAGTAATGTTTTGAATCTTTGTCAAAATCATGTCATTCTTACGTAAAACGCCGAAGTTTCAACGAGAAAATAATATAAAAAAATTTGATTTCTTATAGAAAAAATTTATTAGCTTTCTTTTATCTCGACGGTATTACTCATTTTATCGTTAAGAAAGAAATAATGTAAGATTAAATGCAAGTAATAATCAGAATTGATGAATGTTCGTTCTATGAAATAAACTTTCTTATTTTTTTAATAATTTTCAATGTACCTTTGTGCCAATAGGCACTAATATATATACATATGCATGTATATACTTGTATGTGTGTGTTTATATGTTAATCAGAGATGATTTTTATCTATGTGGATGTCATCCCTAGTTTACATTGCGCTAATATGATGTAATTCGTGTGATTGACTAATTCTTGTCCTTGTTCTGTTCAACAAAATCTGTTCTATTTCTTTTGGTGTAACTTTCATTGCTCTCTCTCTCTCTCTTTTTATGTATATCTTTCCTGTTTTCTTTCTTTCTCTCGTATAATCGTGTGATCTAATTGATCACTATATAAGGAGATGAAGAAAGGAAGAACAGAGAGCATTTCCTTTGTGAAACATTCTTGGAAATGTCTCCAGGACAGACTAGAGGATGGAATAGTGAAGATAACATCAATGATATACTGAATATATCGGTAGCACTATTCTTCCAGTTTGTCGATTGTGATCACAATTTGATTAGAAAAATAAAAGAAATGCTGCAGCAATAACATCATAATTCCGTCAGTTATTATATGATTTTTCGTTACAACCTTATCTTAATTTTAATATGACAAGGGGTGTACATATCACTTATCTGTCTTGTCTAATCGTACGAAGAAAAAAGGAAGTTGAGAAAAAATATTGTGAATTCCAATCAAGGGGGAAAAGGCGAGACTCACTCTACTCCAAAAAAAAATTGGAGTACAGTTGGAGTACAGTGGAGTACAGCTGGAGTACAGTTGGCGTACGAATGGAGTACAGCTGGAGTACGCATTTCAGAAGTCTCGCTTTTTCCTCCTTGATTCCAATGAACTTCATTGTTTAATGAGTTTTTCTATAAAATTGTAAGTAACTCGACTATTCAAGTAATTAACCCAGGACGAGCATTACGATAGCCGTAAACGATCGTATACGACGTCGTATTCGATCGTGTACGGTCGTATACGGTGTAAATTACGATCGTATACGACCGTATTTCGCCGTATTACTTGACGCCAGATTTACGACCGTATATCGTCGTGTCGTATACGACGAAATACGACCACCGTAAACGATCGTACACAGTCGTATACTATGTGGATTGTCATCATATTTCATTCAAAATTTTGCTACCTACCCTCCCCCCTCCACCCTCCCAACTCTGCAAAGATGGAAAAGTTAATCTTTGGTGTGTCCAGTCTGACTGGAGCTCCCAATTCTTATTTCTCATGCAGCTTTGATGATATATCATCAAAGCTGCACGAAAAACAAGAACTTGAACCTCCAGCCAAATTGGACATCCCCATTCCATTACATTGATACTTTATGATTTTATTTGTCCTTTTGATAATCTAAAAAATAAAAAATAAATTTATTTAATCTAAAAAAAGTTAAAGTTGATCTAATCTAAAAACAAAAAAATAAAATTCATTTAATCTAAAAAATAAAATTTATTCAATCTAAAAAGTAAAATTTATTCAATCTAAAAAATAAAATTGAAACTTTTTCTAATCTAAAAATAAAATTGAAACTTTTTCTAATCTAAAAATAAAAAATAAATTTATTTAATCTAAAAAATAAAAGTTAAAATTTATCCAATCTGAGAATAGAATTCATTTAATCTAAATATAATAAAATAAGATTTATCTAATCTAAAAATTAAAAAAAAATTTATTTAGTCTAAAAATAAAAAATAAAATTTATTTAATCTAAAGATAACAAA